GTATGAGTCACTAGATGCATACCTGCAAAGCGTTCAGTGCTTGCTTTCATAATTTTGGAATATCGTATATTAATCAATATATGTATATATATATAGGAATTATTTTATATTTTAATATTATAAAAATGATGGGTTTGGTTACTGCACAACTGGAATATAGAAATCGTTAAAAATGACTTTAACATGATTGATATCGAGTCAATAGATATACAAAATGTGCATCTCTTTGCAGAGGCTGTAAAGCACAACTCTTTTCAATCTAGCCATATAAAAACTTGTTTTCTGTCTTTTGTTTTTGCATGATAAAGGCGTTCTGGGTAGTTGCTTTGAGCAAGAGGATAGCGTTGCCCATCTTCCGTCATTGCACTTTCTCTCATTGCTACTTTCCAAGTCCTCCAGACTGCCTGAGAAGACCATTGGCAATGTAAAGATCTCACTGAAGGCACTTCTGGACAAACAGAGTGTGGAGAGAGGTGCCTAATGTTAAATCACTACATGTGTTTTCAATAGAAAATCAAAACCAATCTATAGATCTAGCCAAATTTATAATTTGATCCCAATTTTCAATTGTTTTTATTGGTGTGACTAAATGTTTTGGCATAAAAATGTTGAAATATTGTGTTAATAAAAATTGTATGTATTTCTGTTAGTAGGCGAAGAGAGTGGTAAGAAAATGTCTGGAGACATGCTTGCAAGCAAGTTGCTAAAGCTCTATGAGAAACACCTGAATAAGCCCTCAAGTACAGAGAAGTGGGCTGTTGCATCCTGCCTTCACTGCCTGTTAGGCGTCAGTACCTCTGCAAAGCAATATGCTATTCAAGGTATGGCCATTTTACATGCATTATATACTCCTAATTAGAGAAACTTACACATACAGTTTATAGAGAGCTTCGTGTAATAGCTGCTGTAACGTTTTAACTTATTTGATGTTATAAATAGTAATTACTTCAAGTTGCTTTGTTGGACTGCTAAAAGTTTTGTTGGACCCCGACCCCCTTAAACACCAGAAATACATAGGTAAATTGCATCTTGTTTTGTAATGTGTCCTGCCATACCATCACACAACTTCGAATCCTGAGTCAGAGATGCCAACCACTACGATTTATCCGTATTTTTATCCGAATTTCTATTCCTTTTGCACCACTACGACCAGTTTGTATCAAACTACGAATTTCACTGTAATCGAAAAAAAAAAAAATTTAATT